TATACATTCTCAAGTGTATTCAAAATTAATACAATTAAAACGTGAAATTTTCAGGTGTTTAGACATGGCGATCGTACAATGGACAGGTTGAATCGCGAATTTTATCCAAACGATCCATATAATGGTCGTAATTTCTATCCAGTTGGCGATGGAGACTTAACTAATGTAAGATCTAATTTACATTTTCTGCATAAATATATTACATCGTTTTATTTTTTTTTATTATTAAAATAATTTTATAACGTGACGCATCATACATCCGATAAATTAACATCGTAACAATACATCAATATTATTTGTAATTTCCTATTCAACAATACAAATGTAATATATCATATGTTGTAAATAATAACTACATTATTGAATAGAAAATTAGAATACTGATGTTATATTACTGTTAGTTGATGTTTATTAGAATATTTGATAAAGTAATCTTCAAAAATTCAGATCATCTTATACTTGTTGTACATTTTTTTAATTACGACAGATTTTTTACCAGTTTATAGTTAATTTTTTCATACCGAAGATATCAAGGAAAATTACAATTTTATATCCAATTTTTAATATCTTATGCTTTTTAATTGCGTCCCAAATTAAAATTTTATTTGAACTCCATTTGAAACTATTTTAAAAATGTAATTTTATTATTTATTTGAGTTCAATTTTGCAAAAATTCATTCCTTTTAATTACACTTAATTCGAAAATCATAAATGTCTTGATCACTAAAAAAAAGCATCATTAAAAAAAATTACTTAAAAAAAATCTCTTGTCCGAAATATGATGTGCGAAAAGTGAGACGTTCTGTATACATAAATTAGTATTAATGCATGCATTACATCTTCTACTCTTCGTAAAGCTTTTCGTAGTGTATCATAGCGAATATACTGCCAGACAAGTAAGTGCGTCTGCGGAAAGATCAACATTTTTCTCATTTCTTTGTTTTTGCGTGGAATACATTACTTTTTTATTTTTAAGTTTGCAAGAAATATTAATAGCATGTCGTAGTTTCTTCTTCTTCTTCTTTATCTTTATTAACAATATTTAAGGCCGGCAAGAAAAGAGCGTATGAATTAGGACTGCTGTTAAGAGACAAATACCACAAATTTCTCGGAGATTTGTATTATCCACCGAATGTCTACGCACGTAGTACATGGGTAATTCGAACCAAGATGACCCTACAATTAGTCCTTGCGGCGCTTTATCCGCCTGTCAAAATTCAAAAGTGGAATTCGGAGCTTTCTTGGCAACCAGTAGACATAATATATTTTCCGATGGAAGAAGATGATCTGCTATTTCCAATTATGTGCTCTGTGTAAGCAAACCTTTTTCTTTCGATCAATATGAATAGTTATACGTATGATCAGCAATAATGTTTCGATTATGTCTGCATTCACAAGAATATTTCATATGAACTAGTCGATTATTTATAAACATGAGGCAATTAAATAATTAATGCAATTAATATATTGTACAAAATATATTGTACAAAAATATCTTTCTGTAGATACTTTATAGATGTCTTAACAATTCTTAAGATTTGATAAAAAATACATTATATTTTGAAGAATATGTATGTAATGTAGATAATATAACCTATAAATAAATGACAAATTATCATAATTATTACGTAATCAAACAGATCACAATAATGTCAAAATGACATTAAATCATAAATAGAATTGTGATTCTGATGAAAAGTAATTTTTAATGACGTGATCGAAAAGTAACTTTTAATGACCATTTTAAAGCCATTTTTACATTTTGATGACTTTTTGTTCTACTTGGATAAATTATATATATTTCTTATTTAAATTACTCTTATTTAAAATACTCGACAATAATATTAAAAATTTATTCTTATGTGTCTTCAATAGATACCAGGATGTTTTCAAAAATGTGATACAAAATGCAGAAGTAAAAAAGGAAATAGAACAGTTTGACAATTTGATGGACATAACATCAAAGTATGCAGGAACTAATATTACAACTCTCTTGGACCTTGTTCGTTTGTATAGTGTTTTACGTACAGAATCATCTATGGGATTAACTTTACCTAAATGGACGCAAGACATATTTCCGAATGGCAAACTTTTGAATGCGACTCTCTTAATGTTCAATTTACTTAGTTATGATCAACTAAATAATCTTAATGGAGGCATGTTTAAATAAAAATCATAATATTGTTTATAACTTTATCTAATTATTAAAACATAATCCTAAATTATTGAGAAGTCTAAAGAAGGAGCTTAAATTATTAGAAAGCAAAGACTTCAACTAAATTGTAGCATTATCAATTAACCTTTTTATATATTCCCATATAATATTCTTTTAATAATCTTTTGCAGGTGTGTTATTAAATAGATTAATTAACGACATGAATAAAGTGATTAACGGAACTCTACATCACAAAATTAATCTCTTCTCCGCACATGACATAAATGTGTTTGGATTGCTATTTGCTCTAAATATTTCCGAACGTTATGTACCAGAGTTTACGAGCAGCGTTATTATGGAATTACATGAAAGAAATGAGAAGTATTTTGTCAAAGTAAGAATGTCATTTTTATCTGCTAATGCAAATAATATTTGTCATTTGACTAATTAATAACCAATGGATAATGTTTACTTCTTACAGATATTATATTATTTAGGTATTCCACCGAAAATATTAGAAGTTAGTATCCCCGGCTGTGAAGTATTATGTCCATATGACAAATTTATCGAATTAACTAAGCATTCAACTGGGATACAACCATGTTCAGAGAATCAGAAAAAAAGCAAATTTCATGGTTCCGCACCATTTGATAACTTTTAAAAATTAATAGAGCACGTCTCGAAACTTCAGTTTTTTTAAAATTTTAAAAATTAAGTTACCACTTAATTTTTTTCTTTTACAAAATCTTTATTATTTTCTTATCAGAAATAGAATTAAATCAATCGAAGTATTGAATAAAAAATGAGACTTTCTAATCTCATCATTGGCAACTCAATTTTATTTAAATGAACGAATTAAATAACGAAATAATTAATCAGGAAAGAAATTTTATAATCTCATTTTACAATATCTTCAAATTTAAGATACAACAGCGTCTCTCATGTAATATAATAAAATTGGCGTGCTAGCTAGTTTTATTACATTTCCCTCATTATATCCAGTATCGTACCGCCGAAAACTAGATGCCCATACGATCGTGGAAAGTTAAGTTCGTTAAGTATGCTCAGAGCCGTGTCTTATCGAAGACACGGAGCTCAGATCCTCCGCCTACCGTGCCGTAGCATAACAATTACCCTATTATTTCGCACACACCACCGCAGCGATTCGTTGGGCCTATACACCGCACATTTCCGTTCCACGATATACTCTCAACTTCCATTAAGGCTAAATCTTTTTGGTCGTCGCGTAAGCAGATATCAACGTTGAAGTTTAATTTGCTCTTCTACGTTATTACCATTTATGTCAGGCGATGAATTTTATTTTGAGATATACTTTCTTATAAGTATGTGTTACTTTTACACATATTATATATTATAGTTACAATATAATTTATTATATGATATACATATACCGTGTAATGTAAACTGAAATTCAAAATATTCTTTATATATTTTTATATATTTTGTATGTTGCTTATTATATATGTTGCACAGTTTTATTATATTACCTGTTGTATGCAATATAATTATTGTAAATCTAAGTCTCACAAATAAAAATACATTGACCTATCTATTCTTATGTTTACAAGTTAAGAAAACTGCTTCTACAAAGAAAAATCGTATCGAGAGTTTAGAAAATTTTTGTAAGAGATATAGAAACGATGCCAAACAAGAGTTTATCGTATACTGAATTAGTCGCGATGTTCTTTCAATTTTGAAAATCATTGCCGAAACTTGTCGCCGGAAAAGAATAGGAGGTTTCAGCTATTCTAAAGACAAAGTTCATCTTTCTTTTTCCCTTTTCTTTCGTGCCGGGCCATCCTTTTCTGTTACCCTTTTTTCTCCTGTAATCCCACTCTCGCTCCGTCGGGATAAACTCTTGAAATTTCCGAGAGTTGCCCGGATGAGAAGAACCAGTTCCGCACTCCTAATTCTGCGGAATTAAACTCGCGAAATCGTTCTAATTGCGGATACAGAGCATCGGGGCAGTTGCATCGAACGAGTTGCATTGTACTTTTAACGATGTAATACTACAATTGAATTAATCACCGTTCAATTTCCCCAACACAATCGTTAAATTATTTTTATGCTAAAGGTTGATTATTATAACGTTAATTTACAATTGCTGGAAAATATATTACTTTATCGAATACGTCCTGCATAATACATCAAAAGAAATAAATAAAATCTTTCTCAATAAATTCTAATTAATTGTGTATTGAATTCTAGTTAATTTTCCAGTTTCTTTATAAATATATCTTGATATATTTATAATTACAAATTGGTTCAAGTATGAAATTATTAGTCAGTTTATGAAAAATTAATCTTCCTTAATTACGACATTATTCGAGTTGGCGTTTCTGTATACAAGAAATGCAAGAAAAGGTATTAAATAGAGCGTTCCGTAAGTTCCTAGATGAATGCGTGACACAACGGCCGAGAAAATGCAAAATTTGCCGAAAAGACTGCCGTACGGAAGTTAGTTTGAAAACGCACAATTTAATTGAACATTCGTAATAATTTGTCTGCACGAAAGGGTGCTAACTGAAACTCCGCGGTTTGCGTTCGCGTGCGATTCGTCGGCAGCAAGGAATTAGCACGAGCTGTCGAGTAGACAATACGGAATTAATTATAATTAACTGCCATTCACAAAAGTTTCCACGAACAATTTTGTGGTCGCACTATGCCGGTTATAATGAACTCTCTCCTGGCAGCTCCTATCATTTACATACTCTTACATTCAAACTGGGTTTTCGTTTGGCTGCTGCGCTGGTTCGCGACAACCCCAAGAGAAACTTCTTTAAATTATGCCCTTTGGAATATACCTTCGGCATGACGTAGAGTATAACGTCCGTTGAAAACTTTCCACCGGCACGAAGAAATATCGTTGCAACATCTAAAAATGCATACGACTGATTCTTACTGTCAAGCAGCGCAGATTACACATTTTGAAAGAAAAGCCTAGCTTTTGATAAAGGAAAATTACATAAAATATAATTAGAAAGATTTTCATATAATTCATGTTACATAAAAATTAATCGTGTACATTATTATTTATTATAGTTATATTCATTATAATTATATTTATTATATTTCTTGTCATATTAATTAATTTAGGTACATCCCATAAATTTAAATTTTTAGATAAATAGATTAACCTTGATTCAATTTTTTAAATAATTATGAAAAAATTTTTTATAAACTAACAGTTGTTTTGTACATTATTTATATGTCACAATTTATGTGTGATAACAATAAACGGCTACTGGCGGCTACGGAATAGTTCAGAAATAATTAAATTAATAACATTACTATTTAAAAATTTAATAATATTAAATTAATATTGTTTAAATATTTTAACATCAAGTTACACGTAATCAAAATTTTTTACAACTCGATATTCTCGCATGCGTATCATCATCTTCTCGTTGCAGGTTTTCTTCATTTCAAGAAGTAGCACTGGCCTTGTGTTCCTTATATTTACGACTTTATCCTACATGTAAGAATCATTGTCCTGTATTGCACTTATCGTTTAATCAATTTTATGCAGAGGCCCCTGACGTAAGATCGTGACGATGATGTGTTAGTTGTCATTAAAAGGACAAGAAACAAGAAACTTTATATTTTAGTATAAAAAAATAAAGAACTTCTACGTAAAGAATATCAGAAAAGTACAATTCTTTTTATTTACTGAAACATCGATTTCAATTAAAAACCTATAACAACCCAGCACACACTTCTCGAAGAGATGTCTCTAGACATTACATTCTATAAAGGATGTTCCCAGGACGTTCCTAGGATAAAGTGTGCTGTATGGGAACAGTACCATTAAATTAAATTAAACTAGATAACATTTTAGTTTGTAAATAATGATGGTTTGTAAACTATTGTATGAGTTTCAAAGTACATCAAAAGAAGGAGATACCTAAATCTCTCTCGCTTCCGCGACGTAATTCGGATTTTGCTGACTAAATTGTGAGGAGAAAAAATCAGCGATTATCTCGTTTGTGTAGATGTATATGTGCACATACATAATATTAGAGAATGTAAGTGTGGCACCGAGCTGACGTTCGGTAGTGCATTATCAGTTCGCCTCGCGCTCATAGGAAACCGCAATTTCCACAAATTACACGGATGAAAACTGACTCTTGCGACTGTACACCATCGGCTACAGCGCGGTGGAATTCATGGGTCGCGGGTTATGCCGCATTCGGTGGTATGTAGTAATTAGCAACATTGCTCCCAGATCTCCCGTGGATGGGAGGATCGAGTTGAGGGCCGAGCGAGAGGGTGGACGAGCGGGGGTCGACGGATTCGCCGGCACAGATTTCATTTCGAAGGAATAGAACGCAAACGGTGGCGATATTATCTTGCCTCTGTGTGCGACTGTGACATTTAATGATCGCCGGTCATACCGAGGTTCTCATAGCATCGCCGGAAATCGAAACAAAAACATAACGCTGTCACATTCTTAGTTTATAAGTGACATCTTCGTGTATGAAATCGAGAAATTTTTGACAAAGCTCGTGTAAAAATTGTCGCAATCTTAACTTAAGATTCGAGAAAATGCATAATAGCGATTAATCGTAAGATTTTGTTCGAGTTGAAATTTAAAAAAATGTTTGCAAAACCAAGATAAATATATATTATAATTGGATATTAAAGAGAAAAAAAGCTAAAAAAAAAAGAAGATATTGTACAAAAGTGCAAGTAACACAAACTTTTAATTATTATCACCATTAGAGTTTTTAATTCTACTGGATCGGAACAAAAAATTTCGTAGCGCTACGAACCTCAGAATTCAAAGTTGTAACTTTATTAAAAATAAACAAAATTTAAATTTAAAAAAAAGATTTTTAAAGCTTAAAATCTCGACTTTCGAAAGATTATTATACCTTTTGAGTTTTTTTCTGTAAGTTTGGTAATTTTTATATATAAAAAATTATGAGCTGGAAAATGGGAAAATTTTCGACTTTCTAACATAAAAACTTAAAATTTTCTCTACAAAATTTTCTTTACAAAGTTTTCCAAAAATATTCTTAAGATTATTTGTTACTGCGGATTAAATAAAAGAAATATTTTTACTCTTGTTTACAATTCCATTAAAAATCATCGTGCCATAATTCAAAGAATAAATTATTAAAGCTGACACTTTGCTCTATCAAATGGTATAATTACCAAATTTTTTAAATATACATGGTATGAATGAAATAGCGCTATATTACATATATTTTCGTTTCGACTCAATATTATAACACAAAATGCGAACAAAAAAAATGTATTCGGGTTCAGATAGGATCGAATGGTCGAAAGAGGATTCATTTTTTTATTTTCGTAATTCTCTCTGACACATCGCTTAAGATGCTTAAATGAATATCCTCGAAAATAAAGTATTTTTCCTGTATATTTTTTCCATTTTTTAAGATATTGATTTTGAAAATATATATATCATTCATATTGACATAATTTTTTTATTTTGAAAGCTCCGCATCAGCCAAATAACATCAAATTTTCGTAAAAAATTCTTGTAATCTTCTCTCACACAAAAAAAGAAGTAAATTATGAATTTTGAGAGCCCTAGTATAATAACTTTTGTGAAGTAAATTATATTTGCCTTTTAAAAAATTTTTCGTGAATTGGATATCATTTGTGTATAAACGA